GCCCTCTATCCACACTAGTCAGAAGAGGCCCCTGAGACCGATGGTCAGAGAGGCTCTTATATCCATACTGGCCACAGGAGGTCCCTGAGACTGGTGGTCATAGAGGTCCTATAGTGAATCTAAGGAGGCCCCTCTATCCACACTGTTCTAAGGAGGCCCCCGAGACTGATGGTCTGAGAGGCCCTTTTATTTATACTGGCCACAAAAGCCCCCTGAGATAAATGGTCTGAGAGGCTCTTCTATTTATACTAACCAGTGGAGGCCCCTGGGATTGATGGTCTAACAGGCCCTTCTATTTATACTAGCCAGAGGAGGCCCATGAGACTGATGGTCTGAGAGGCATTTCTTTTCATACTGACCAGAGGAGGCACCTGAGACTGGTGGTTTGAGAGGCCCTACTATTCATAATCGGCAGAGGAGGTCCCTGAAATTGAGGGTCTGAGAGCCCCTCCTATTCATAAGAAGCCAAGAGACGACCCTGAAATTAATGATCTGAGAGGCTCTTCTGTTTATACTAGCCAGAGCAAGCCGCTGAGATTGGTGATCTGAGAGGCCCTTCTATCAATACCTGCCAAAGGAGGCCCCTGAGACTGATGGTGGCCAGAATAGGCCTCCGAGACTGATGGTCTGAGAGGCCCTTCTATTCAAACTAGGCAGAGGAGGCGCCTGAGAATAATAGCCCGAAGAGCCATGTGGCGGCAACTGGCCGTTGAAAAAAACTCGGGACATATTTCGGCTTGTTAGGGCCCCACAGAGCTCATGAGAGCACCTCAAGGGCTCCTAAGTAGACACGCTTATCTCCATAAGGGTGCCACGCCGGCTTCTGAAGGCTCCTTGTAGGCATCTAAGGGCCCTTTCCGGCCTCTAACGGCTCCACCCGCCAGTAATGGCTCCACACCAGTGTTTATGAGCGCCACACACCGGCGCCTTTGAGGGTCATACCAGTGTCTCTTAAGGCACTATATCGGTGGCTCTGGGGGCCCCACACCGGCGCCTCTATGGGCCACACACCTATGCATCTCAATGCTCTATAGGTGCATCAGAAGGACCCACACCGACACCTCTGAGGGCCCCACACCAGTATCTCTGAGCTCTGAAGGCCCCACACTGGTGACTCTCTGAGGGCTCACCGGCGCCTGAGAGCACCATGTTGATGTTTAACGGCTTCAAAGGCCACTGAAGGCACCACACAAGCTCTCACTGAGCTCTTATGTCCCATACCGGCGTCCCTGAGGGTCCACATCTGTCGGGCACCCATCGGCGACTCTGAAGGTCCCACACTGACACTGTCGACTCCGAGGGCCCTACCTGCGTCTGAGAGCATCATGCGGTCTCTAAGAACCACACAGGGCTTATGAAGGCGCCTGGCAAGCTCTATCGCTTTAGCTCTGATAAGTCTCATGCCGCCCTCTGCATATAAGAGTCCAACGCCGGCGCTTAGGTGATAAGGGGGCGCCTACATGCGAAAGAGAGTTGATAATTGATATGAATTCATAGGAAAAGGGGCGCCCGCCTGTATGCAAGAGAAGGGCGCCTGCCAGGGTCGTCGCCATGGATTTTTGACTGGGGGGGGGGGGGGACATATCGGCAGACTTAAAACCAAAAAGTAGGTATTGTCGCCGCACTCTTAGCCCAATACACTATCTGATCTGTGTTAAAGGTCGTACAAGCCGGATTTTTTACAGTACACATCTGAAGTCCGATTCAATTTGACACAATTATGGACAAAGCCGCTGCTCTTCTTTTAGGGTGTACCAATTGCTGACGCATGCCACCAATCTGAATCTGATACATAATGCATTCATGCCCGTGTAGGAGGAGGGGAGATATTACAGCCACAATCTCTCTTTTTGACTACTGTAGGAATTGGCGGCGCGAAGCGTCGCGAAAAATGGCAAAAACATTTGTCAAAATACAGCCCCAAAACACAGACTTTGCAAGTCTTGTAGCATGTAAGAGGTCAGAACACCTAAGGTCGGGTCACCGAGTCAAGCAGCCTCTAAATTTTGTGGTCCTGCATCAACCGTGCAGCTTGTTTCCTAGAAGTTGGAAATTTAGTGTAAGTCTGCACGACTGCGGGGTTGAAGCCGGAGACGGTCGGAGTTGACTATTCTGCAAATAGTCATTTTTAAGCATCCTCGGGTGTTTATTTTGGGGGATTTGCCCCTCGGATTCCTCAACCGGGGGGACGCGTCTCCCTGTCCCTCCGTTTGCGACGCCCATAGCGCCTGCGATGCCCATACGGCCGCCTGTTATGCTCATAGGGGTGTTGATTACGAAAGACTGCATATGATGCCTACTGGGGCGTCGACATGCAATTGAGGGGCGACTATCAATGCCATAACGGCTCCTCCGTACGAACGACGGGCGTCTTCATGCCAAAGAGGAGCGGATCTGAGGCAGTAAGGGCACCTACATGCAATAGAGGGGCGCCTCCGAGGCCTACATATATGGGCGTCCACATGCAATAGAGGGACGCCTATCAATGCCATAGGGGTGCATTCATACGAACAGGGGCGCCGGCATGGCAAAGAGAGGCGCCTCCAATGTCAATAAAAGAGTGGCGCCTAAGACAAGGGCACGTTTTATGCAACAATTTATTTTATTATTTAACATTTTTTCATTTTATGCCTGTTGGTCATATAGGGATGTCTCTGATGATTACGGAGCGAGCGAAGCGAGCGTAGTCTTTCCTTAGATTAACAGAAATTTCTGAGTATTTTTTTTTTAATGTTTTTTTTTTATTTTTTTTCCACTTATTGAGTGTATTCAGTCGACACATTCATCAACAGCAGTATCTTCCAACTACACCTGGAAACTACCTTGCAACACGGAAAACGGCAAACATTAATCAACATGAAATTTCTGAGTATGAGCGGCCGGCCGGCCGACCGGCCGGCCGGCCGTGCGGACGCTTTTGCGAGGCTTATATCTCAGCAACCACTTGACCGATTTACACGCGGTAATTTTTGTACGGTAGCTTCATTCCTTCTACCAAGTATTGGACTATTCCCGATGCATGTGGCTGACCACTTATGCACGTGCCACGTGCAAAACGAAGAGGTGTCAGTTTTGTAATTGTTGCAATATCTTGGTAACTACTTGGCCGATTGCGCTGAAAGTTGGCATGTAGGTGGGCACCCACTAGGCACTGCATATCCATGTGCCAGGGTTGGGGTGCTGCTGCACGTGCGCACGTGCAGGGGTCGTTTCCAGATCTCGAGAACGGCTGGACCGATGGCGCTCAAATTTGGCACACGGTTAGGGACCAGTTAGTAGGGTGCCGTGCAAAAGTCAGTTGGGACCCTTTCTGCACGTGCGCACGTGCAGGGTGCCGCTTCCAGATCTCGAGAACGGCTGGGCCGATTGTGCTCAAATTTGGCACATCGCTAGAGACCGCTTAGTAGGGTGCCGTGCACAAGTCAGTTGGAGGTACCCCCTCGAAATTTCGCACGTGCAAGGCCCACCCTCTCGCTCGCTCCGTTAGTCGCCCCAAAAGGCGTTATACTGGTGACTATATAGTGCTTATATGCCAAAGAGGGGCGCCTATGGAGCTAGGGGCGCCTGGGAAACGAGGAAGACATTTGGATAAGGGTTTTCAGGGGTCATGCGCCGTTTGCGACAAATATATTCTAAAAAAATCTGAGAGGGGAAAACTTTTAAAAATAGTGCGGACTTTCCGCGCTGTTCGCTTAAGCGGTTACGCCCCTGGCCCCTGGGTACATCTGCCCGATCTCAGAAGCTAGATTTAGAGGTCATACTTGAAAACAGTACGATGAAAATGTTGGAGGCCCCTGAAAATAGGGGGCCCCCTGGAAAAGGGGGCCCCTCAACAGGGTGGCCCACCCACTTTTCATGACGTTCCTACGCCCGTGCATTTGATTGCAGTCCTATGGGCTCCGCTGTTGCAGGTCACATTATAGGCTATCAGGGCGTCTGACAGCGGCCACGATCGGTGGCGCGGCGGCTGGCAGCGCGGCCATTCTGGCGCGCGGCGCGCTGCCACTATAGAAGGCCGCTCATCCATCAACTGCCACGCTGGGCTGACACCACGCGCCATCGAACGCCGCAGCGCCGCTATTGCCTCAGTCGGCGGCGCTGCAGGACTGGGACAGTCGGGCTGGGACAGTGGCACAGGGACAGCAGAACTGGGATAGCAGGACTGGGACAAGACTGGGACAAATGTACAGCTTACAGCTCCACCACTGCCACAATCGGCGGCACTGGGACAGCAGGACTGGGACAGGACTGGGAAAAATATGTAGCGCACAGCCGGACGCTGAGATGAGGCCCGTATACCTACACAGCACAGATACAGGCGCAGTTAAATGAGATGGGACAGAGACAGATGCAGATTGCAGAGCCACACCTACAAACCGCCATATCATACCGACACAGCAAGAGCTAGACACAAACGGATTGGGGCGGACGCATAGTGCACAAAGCACAGCGCACAGCCCACAACCTCACCTGACCACATAAACAGCGCAGAAATGCTACACTGAACTGGGACACATGTATCGCACAGTGCACAGTGGACAGTACAGACCACAGTCGAACGTTGGACTGGGAACAAGCACGACAGTCTGACACTCATTCGAGACAAGTGTTTTAGTGCAGAGACTAGACCCGGAACTGTGGGAACTTTCCCATCAGTGTAATAGGGCTATGAAGTAAAATCGAATAAGGAATTACCGAATCATTGCCGGCAATAATCGAAATTGCTTCTATCGGCGGCGCGAGAATTTGTGCTGACAGCCCACGCCCCATTATCTTTGAAGGGCTGATTTGTGTACCAATTACACATAACTGCTGAACCAGCATTATCGGACAATATGCCTTTCGATTGCCTTTCGATTCGATTGATTCCCTTCCTTGGCAACAATGCAGCCAGCAACAGTCAGCAGCTAGCTGGAAGCCGCCGGCATTCCTCATTGCTCGGAATGCAGCAGAACTAAGCGCTGTGTGAACTGAGCCGTCCATGCATGCAGCACACTCACTTGATGTGGTTCCGGGGTATGTTGTGGATGTCCTTGTAGACGACCTTTAGCCTCAGGAAGTCGCCGTTGGTATCCGTCTCGATGGACCAGCCCTGGCGATCGCGGTCGTAACAGGAGGCGGCCATTGGTCCTCCGACCGTCCCCACGGCGAGTTCACTGACCGTGTTAGCCGCCAACATTTCACAGATCACCTTTAGCCGTCCGCCCGGGCACAAATCGTCCAGCGAGTTGCGCGGCGACCAGCCTGGACCGCGACCCTCCCTGTCACTCACTTCCTCCAGGATTCCAGAGATAGCAGCCCCCTCACCGTCCCCCAGAGTCAGGTTGTACCGCACGCGGCACTTGTGCTCGAAGCCGGTGAGTCGCCGGAGAGCGGCGAACGCCCTCTGAGGCTCCTCCGGTGAGCGCTGGACGGTCACACTCCAGTCGAAGTTGCCGAAGGTGAAGTTGCTCGTCTCGAGCCGCGAGTCATCTTTGAGTGGCCGCGGTACGGTGAGGTCGGCCTCGAACACAGTTCGAACGTTTGTCATGGTCAGCTCCAGCTGAAATTCACCGTTAGAGTCCGTGAACTTACGCTCGTACAAGCTACCCACGTTGATGAACTTGCGATTGCCCTGAGCAGGCGATTCCTTTGAAAACTTGATCTGTTTACCGCTGAAGCTTTCGTTACCACTGAAGTGATCACGGTTCAGAAGTGAGAAAGCAAAGTCGATGTAGAGCCGCATATGCTCTGAGGGACTGCGCCATACGAGGTAGACTCCGAGGAGCTTCTCGTTGCGACTGAAGGTGACGGCCCACCGGTGGAAGCCGTAGGGGAACTCCTTAGTGGTGACGTCACGGTGCAGGTCCCTCGTCACAGTCTTGGTGACTACGAACGAGAAGACTCGCGTGTTGCCGCGGTCGTTGACCTTGACGAAACGATAGAGCAGCGCCATCTGAAAGCAACGTGAAGGTCAGTTGACGTGAGATAAACGCTTTTGGAGGATTCTTTTTAGGAAAGTTGCATCAGTGTTATCTTGAAATTCATGGTCACCATTTTTCGTCTATCAGTCGGGAGCGGGAAGCAGATATGTCTCAGTCCTGTGACTCAATAGATCAATTAAACGTGACAGTCCACTGTTTGTTATCGCATGTCTATGTCATGTTATGCCATGTCATATTATGTCTGTTATGTCTATGTAACTGTTATGTGACAGTCCACTGTTGTCGCCATAGTCCATAGGATATTACACAGAGCCGTAGACAGGACACAGCCAACTCTGTGGAGATTACGGACAGGCCAAAGCCTATAACAGTCCACGGTCAAAGTTCACTGTCGAGGACCAATGACAGTCAACTGTCGGTCCTTCGCCAGCGAGTCTGACAGCCAAACCGTGGTCTTTGTCGCTCCAGAGATCAGACTCTCTAAGTGGATCTCGATTGGTCTCATGCCAGAAGACCAGAGCTCGCCGCTAGCTGGATGACGTTGTTTGTCTCTCTGGATGAGCTTATTGTGGTTCGTTAAGCCAGGAATTGTCTGCCGATGCCTAGCTATCAGATCTTTGGTGGAATTAATTACTCGGCAAGTTTGAGTGAATCCTGTCCAGAGACCATGATTGGATTTATTGGTGGTTAGTTAGCAGACTTGCGCGGCTTTTTTGCATTCAATTTCAGTTGAGATTCGCTGGGATGAATAGTTGTTTTTCACCATCCTTTTATCAAGAACAGAAAGGCCTTTATTGATTAACTATAAAAGACCTCCGCAACTTAGAGCAGTCAAATCGAACTGCAAATACCAAACTGTTTCGAACCATTTAGGAGAAGAATGGCAGCGACTGCAGACAACAAAAGTGTAGTCTAAAAAGATGCAGGCACTTTTGTTCCCCTGAGAGGTTGGGTTCTTTTGTGAGAGCTAGTGTGGGCGTATGGTTCAGAAAAGCGTGACGTATACAGCACTAATCGAGCATGTTTAGTGCCAGTTTGCTGAAGCTGTACTCCACACCGGCTAAGTTCTTTTCCGATTCATACAGTTTAAAACTTTCCACTCAGCTCTGTAACTGAAATGTGTCAGTAGCAGGCTCCTTTGAGTTTCAAGTTGGAGCTCTGTGGCAATGGCGGTGGCTGAGGACTTTCCTGATTGACATTTAAGTCGAAATTATCGGCACATCTAAAGGTCGGAGTGGTAACTACTATGCTAAGAGCTTGAACAGCCTTGACACCTTTCTACATACCACCTGTTCCCCGGCTAATTCCATGGAAATGCACGGCGCATTGGGCACTTCTGTCGGTGGCGCTATCATATTAGGTGGGGATGATTAGGCGGCCGATTCGGTTACTGCTGCCGATCTGCTCCTCTGTGTGGACGTGCACCCGCCTGTCCGCGTCCGACGGCTGTCCGCATTATCCAGACATGGCCGGCTCAGATTCGGCGCAGGGCTGGCCGCCCGGAATCACGGCTCCGTGGTGGTGCTGTCCAGACAGTGAACGGTAACAGACAGGCTCTGCCAGACTTCAGTTCTGCTGCTGCCGTGGCGTGTTGAAATCGCGAGGAGATGTTAGGTGACTTCGGAGTATCGACGCATCCCTTATTCGTGTATTATTGATAGATGCGGAAAATTATCCGACAGACGGGTAGGACTTTTGTTTTCAGCTACCAAAACCTCTCGCTCAGTAGTATTCAATTTCTTACGGTGAACGCCGCTGGCCCTGCGGCCTATAGGTACTCGTTGGCCCGCTCACTGCTGGAGAGCGTCGCTCCTCGCCATTGTCACCCGACCTCAGAGAGCCGCATCGATCCACACGAGACCCCCCCCCCCCGCCCGGTCAGCCGGGATCAGACCCCCCCCCCCTACCCCGTCGGCAATCAGACACCACAATCACGGGCCTCGCCACCAATGCGCGGCATCATCACCCGAGCCAGGCATCCGGCACAGCAGACATGGGGACTGGGGTGCCAACAATGGAAGAAGTTGTAGCAGAATTTAGGAGAACAAACAGCGGAAAAGTAGGATTCAAAGGCTTCAAAGGTCATAGTCCATCCTACCTTTTTTGTGTCATGAATCGATAAACATTTGTCACCTTTTTCACTCACACTATTTATCCTACCTAAAATTAACCAATAGTAGGTGATAGATATTTTACTTTTGGTGCAGACTACTGAAAACGTTAAAGATACATTACTAAAGGAGAATCCACATTAACATTCATTTTGAGGCCCCAGAGTGCAAAAGCATCCATTATTAGCAACGCTTAACCCGCGCCGTGCTGGTGGCCTGAACTTTCCGCCGAGTGCTGGGGGGGGGGGGGGGGGGCGTTTTCACGCCCCCCCCCCGTCTAACTCGGCTCCTGGGCCACGTAGCGACACGCGGTAAGCGGCAATCGAAAGAGCGTCAAAAATAAGGACGAAAACACTTCGGTCATTTTTTGGGTCAGGTCAAAGGTCAGGTCACCAGAGGTCACCAAAGGTAAAATGTTGACTATTTCAACATTTTGGAAACTGCCAACGGCTATCTCGGGAACCGATAGAGCTACAGCGCCGCGGAAAAGCGCATTCGATAGCCCTTTTACAGACCTTTCTGAGTAATGTTCTCAGATTTGACCTCAGGTCAACGGTTTAGCCTCCAGAGGGCAAAAACTCCAAAAATAGCCGTTTTTACGAAAAACGTTTTTTCGTCAATAACTTTTGACTCATAAGCGCCATGACATTACTTTTGCCAGCATCGTGTTCCTCTCGTCGAGACGCGTCGAATGAACTATTTGTTGACCTTGAAAGGTCATTTTGAAAATTTGACCTCAGGTCAAGGTCATGACCTGACCGAAAAGGGTCATGTTGCATATCAGTCGATCCGTATCGTCGAGCTGAACACATCTGACGTGTTTTCACCGCTCTAGCACGTCTCTATCAAAAGTTATAGCCAAAAAACTGCTGGCGACCGTTCATGACCTGAGATGACCTCAGGGGCACACAGAGGGGTCACAGGTGCATTTTTCCTATTCAGTGTGTCATGTTTACCTATGAACCGATGTTTGAGAGCGTTTTGAACGATATTCGTCCAAAAGAGGCGCATTTCAATTTTCTCCCATTGACTTATAATGGAGAGGTCGCAAAATTGACCTGACCTTAGGTCACAGATATCAAAAATCCGAGATATACATTTTATACATACTGTTACTCATATCAATCGCTGAAAGTTTCAAAGTGATCGTTCAGTCGGTGTAGCTATAGCGAGCCTTTGAACTTTTTCTGAGGTAAGGTCACTTGACGTGACCTGGTGACCTGACCTTGAACGGCCTAGGTCTGAAATTTTCACAACATGTGCGGAAATGATGTAGGAACACGTGTACCAAAAACGGCGGCGCTGTGCGCCGCCGTTTTTGAGATATTCGCGAAAAACCTGAGGGGGGGGGCGTAAAAACGCCCCCCCCCCCCAGCACGGCGCGGGTTAAGCATAGCTCAAGCCCTGAACTTCTATAAGCATTCAAAGTGGCATTAATCTACATTACTTAACACCTGCAGCGTTAGCAGTTAAAACTGACATTTATCAGCCTTCTGTCTGTGAGTACGCCTGCGAGGAAAAAAGTGGTACTGGCTCTCACCCCGCCACCGTAAATGTCAAAACACACCAAAGCTTACGCTGCATTACTAGCCAATCACAAGGCCGAATAATACAGAGCATGACTGAACTGGGCTCTAATCGCTAACTAAATGACACAATGATAAAAGTGAACAGTGGGCTACATACATGCGTGCGAACTTAGGTACGGATGCAACTTTTTGTCTGCTGCAAACTTAGGGAATCATAAAACAGCAGCACTCCACCTACAGTTACTGGATTTCGTGTTTAAAGAACTCCAAAAGTGGTCAGGCGAGGTCGGCTTTCAGCAGTCCTAAGTCTTCCTAATGGAGCTAAATGTCATCGCGTGAAACGCATTTACAATTTACAGCGGCCTCTCAACAAGAGCAGCTGTGAGTGTCTGCAGTGGAAACCTTCTTAGGTAGGTTCTGGGGCTTCTTGCGGTTATGCATGGCCACTTCTATCATCCTTGGCAATGACATTTGTCCATCCCTGTCCATGATTAGCAGGCAAAGCTAAAGTTGTGGTAGTGAGACGTGTGACAATTGATTTTTGGAGTAGGTTTAAGTAAAGGTAGTGGCCCTGGTGGCGCAGTCGGTTAAGGCGTCGACCCGCGGTGCGGGCGGTGCCGGGTTTCGGGTTCGATTCCCGGTTCCGCCCGTTCCGCGGGCGTCGTCCCCGGCTGTGTCACCAGGTGTGGGGTAGGCTCCCACTTCAGCCGTAGCCTGGGGGGTGGGGGAACAAGGGCCAGGAGGAGGAGGAGCCCTCCTGTAATTGGGCCACAAGTGCCCGTTGGAGGGAGGCCTGAATAAAAAAAAAAAATAAAAAAGGTAAGTGCAACTGACAGGGGCCTGTAAATAGTTACCCAGTTAGTGACTTATGTCCTGTAAGTAGCAATCCGGTTGGTGACATTTTGAAACCAGCAAAACAGCCTGGAACAAAGCAACATTTTTACAAGACCTTTGAAGATGAAAGTCTCCTTATAAACGCGTAGGATATTTCAATCATTCATTCAAGTAGGTACTTATAACCTTTACAAAATTTGCAGCGTCCATTGAAGTTTTGCTTTACAAAGGAAAACACAAAACGTGTGTTTTCTACATATCTATGCGCAATTGCATCGTGCCTAACAACAATCATGAAGCATATTAGATGGAATGTAGATGCAATGCATGCACGCAGCGGTTAAATCGCAATTCACTTTTCGGAATCGGCACTCCAATGCTGTAGTTTCCTGGCTCTCACATTACATAAGGTAATGGAAGAAGACATCCCGTGCCGCGGCTTTCCAACGATCGGAGGCCTCCCACCCAAGCGAGCCCCAGCTGGAATAACGCGAGGTCATTATCGGGCGATTTTTAGCGGGGGAGGAGTCCGAGGAG